ACCTTGAGTTTGACACATGTGCTTTAGGGTAAGGGTTAATATGGAGAGAAATGGGAATGAAGTCACAGTTTATCAGTGGGCTTTCAGACGTTTGGTTTTGCTCAACGTGTTTTTGTTCTTTTAAAATAAATTGGGCAATCTGTAATTCAAAGGCATTACTTCTCTCTTTCATCAACCACTTTCACTTAAAAAAAGTCTGTATTCAGACTCTGTCCACTTACTTTATGTTCTCTTTAAGTGGATATATTACCATTAAAAACAGATGCTTCTCAATGAATCCAGAGCACAGACAGGGCTTCAGTAGGCCTGTTTAAAATGACTGAGAGAGAGAAAGCACTTCAGAAAAAAAAAAGTCCAAACTCAGCAAAGTGATCAATACTAAAACCCCCACTGGTGGAAAATCTGGAGCCCTATTAAAGCAGTTAGGAACATCATGAGTTCAGCAAAACAAGCAGTAAAGTTAAATAAGTTATGAACATAAATTAGTCACTCTTCTACTGTTCGCTGGCTTGGAAGCACAAAGCCAGCTTTTCCCTTGTTTCTTTGTTTATGGCAAACTCAGCAGATTTCAGTTTTCTCACATAGCTTCTACATAACCTTACGTAATTTGTTTTTACCTTTTTGTGTAAGGAGCTTTGGGTTTTAGGAAAATGCTGTATCAATAAGTGCATTGTTAGAGTGGTGCTAAGAAGTGGGGACTCGAACAACTCTTTCTGTTCCCTGAAAAGAGAGTGTCACTGTTTGTTCACAAGAGCAGCAGGACACATTGTTGGTGAGCTTTCAGCTCTTCCGGAGCGCTGCGGCTATTTTCATGCCTCCACTCCTGACTCTTTTTTTGTTTTCTTTTACATCCAAGTGCCTCTGCCCACCGGGGGAGTCCTGAAGTGTGCCTGGTGAGAACAGTTTGACCCTCTTCAATCTTCTTAATACAACACAAATACACTTGATCTGAAAGCAAATTTGAGCAATATGATAATTGCTGCTCCTGACACTAAAAGCTCAGCTGTTTTTATAATAGCTACTGTTTTCTGATCATCACATGCAGCCCAAAACACATGAGGAATGACATACTGTACTTAGGAAACAAACAAAACAAAACAAAACAAACAAACAAACAACAAAAAAAAAAAAAACAGGATATGACATACCACAGAGAAATTAAACAATTTCCTCTAACATTTTACCAATATTCAGCTTACTGTTCTTACGTTTTGCTAATTTTTACTAAATGTTAAATTTAAATGTCTCTCAGCAAGAAGGTTGCCAGATCAAATCCCGGCCCGGGGGCCTTTCTGGGTACAGTTTGCATGTTCTCTCCGTGCATGCRGGGGTTCTCTCCGGGTACTCCGAATTCCTCCCACACACCAAAAACATGCCCATTAGGTTAACTGGTAACTCTAAATTGTTCCTAGGTGTGAGTGAGAGAGTGAATTGTTGTCTGTCTCGTTTGTGTCTCTATGTGTGTCCCTGTGGTGGACTCGCAACCTGTCCAGGGTGCACCCCGCCCCTCACACTCTGACTGCTGGATATGGGCACCAGTGACCCCTGTGACTCTGAAAATCTAAATGTAAAAATTAAATTCTAAATATTGCAGATAAATGATAAAGCTCACATTTCTATTTTGTGAATGGAACACAGCCTTTTCTGTTGGTGTGCACCTTCTGTTGTGATGTCATCATCCTGTGACAACAGCATACGCTAACACTGCTAATGTTGCTGAAGATGGCATTTAAAATCTAAATTCAAAATGTGTTAATTGAAAACAATATGGATGTTATTGTGGTGCAGCAGTTTAAAGTGCAGCTCGTGTGGCTTCCCTACAAGACAAGTTTGATGTTTTGTTGGGACGCTAGCAATGCTAGCAGCATCAGCAGTGTTGGCAGCGTTAGAGTTTGCTTTAACAAAAGCTGTGCACCAAGCAAAGGCTGCATTCCATTCTGAAACACTTGTGTAAACTTAAACATTTAGCCACAACATTTATTTAACTTTTACATTTTAGAAATGTTTTAACTATGATTTTGTACTCAAAAAATATCGATAACAAATTCATAAAGCTCACTTTCTAACACATCATAGACACATCATAGACATAGACTTTTGTCTGCAAAACTCCAATAGAGATTGAGATTTTCATTGATCGATCAATATATTTATCATGTCAGTATTTTAAAAGAGTACCTAAAACATGGCACAGTGTAGTCAGGCAAGAAAAGGCAAAAGCAATTTCTTGTTAAATCAGACTTCCAAATTGAAAGATCAACATTTGCTTACACAGAAAACAGAAATCTTGTGTAGATTAGCATCCAACTGAAAATCCCAGCAGTGTCTGAGACTACACATGCTGTGATGTCACGGCAAGCGCTAATTAAAATGCACGCAGTGTCTGTTGTTATGCAGGGCATCRTATGCTGGAGCACGCATCTTTGGTGAATCTCCCACAATTCCTGCTGTGACGTTTCCCTCTTTCCAACTAGGAATGGGTTTCTAATTGCTTGCCAGCGTTTCATTTTAAGTGCTAATGGTGGTCCGTGCTTCTCTGCGGTGCAAGCGAGTATGGTGAGGCATGACAATCGAGGGATCAAAAGAAGCAACAAGAGGTTCGGATCCCAAATTGTGAGCACACATTCTCTCCCGGTCTGTGTTAGAAAATACTGGCTCCAAAATAAATAATAAATAAAAAGGAATRATCAAATCTAACTGGTGAACAGTAAAATAGTTTGAATCAGAAGCAAGATGGTAGCAAATTGCTTCAGCAAAAACACAGTCGTTCCCTCTGTTTTTGGAGTGCGGATGACWGACAAGGACAAAAATAGAAGAGCAATTTTATATCTATGAAAGCACCATCTGCCAGAGACACAGACACTATAAGTGAACTGTTACGGGAGCATCCAAAACAGATCAGATACTCAAACTGGTCTTTTAAAGTGAAATGTCCAAAAGCTGAAGGGTCATCTGTGCTGTACTTGCTGACCCATGGAGCTTTGAGATAAACCTGGTGGGCCAGTAATTGAAACAAAACAACACAAAAAAAAGTGTTTGCAGTGTGGTGTTGCATGGCGACTGAAGCCTGATACTCAAACAAAGTCGTGTGGACATAATGGACAGACGCCAGGGCAGAGGRGATGGGGGCAGATGGCTTCATCATCAGGGACCCTTTGATGTCTGTCCATTTCATCAAARACAATGAATAAATCTAGAGAAGAGTGTCCATGAAAGCATGAGCACATAAAGCTGTTTATATTTGGTTTTCTAACAAACAGAGATGGTGAATTAGTTAAACTGATGACGTTGGGCWTCATGGTTTTGGTTTTGATCTTTCATTCGTTTAGGCTAAAATTGTATCCTKTTTTCAGTTCTTTTGGTCCTGCTTTACATTTTC